TGGTTCAGATGGTGCTGATGTGGTGGTGGAGCATTGTTTAAGACTACTGGAGCCATGCAAGGTAGTTCAACAGAATTTTTTTATTATTATTATTGTAGGATTAAAAATGGTGTAACAGTTTCATAAGTTGTTGCATGATGTCTGTGTACAAGTGAACAAGTTTTATGTTACTTTAGTTTTGTTGGTGCATGTAATTTATAATTCCATTTACTGATTGTGCCTGTTAAGTGTACACTATATGTTTTTTACAGTCTTGTTTTCTTTCAACATCGATACTTAAAAAAACATTCACACCTAGGTAACTAACGCCTGCTTATCTTAACTGCTCTTCTAACCATAATAATACTTTGTGAGTGAAGCAGTTTTGCATGTAACTTTACTACAGTAGAATTTTGTGGAAAATTTAGTGAGTCAGAGTAAGCTGGTGATGTGTAGTTCAATCATATTTTATCACTGATGTTAACTGAAATCTGTCCATAGTTGCACAATGCTGATCAGCTGGCAGATTGGTGCATGAGTCACCTCTGCACAAACTACAACAAGCTGTGCAAGATGTCACCAAAACTTCTTAGAAGTCTTCATCCTGAAAATCAGGACTACCTCAGTGAACATCGCTGGCCTCCAGTGTGGTAAGGTTCTTCGTATAGTAAAGAAACATTTTCATACATACTCATTACTCCCTCTCTATTTCTCTTTTTTTAAACCCTAACCAGACATCAGACATGTAGCAAAGTGCATGTGCATTCACAGGTGTGATCATCTTTTAGGTTTCTTTACACTGGGTCATATTGTACATTATTTCATATCCATAGTTCAAGAGGAATTTAACTTTTGAATCATTGATATAGTGCTATTTGTTGGATTTGTTTACAGGTACTTGAAGGACTATGACTACTACCAGAAATGTGTTCTTGAACGGGAGCGAGAGGAAAAACCTTCACTGAAACGTGGCCGGCACAACTCAGGGTGCCTTTGCTTTACGGGGGGGAAGTCTCGGAGAGAGGAACGAGGTACTTTGCTGGGTGGGAGCAGCAGTGGTGGCACCACTATTCCTGGAAACAGTTCTGGTGGAGTTGGTGAGGGTGGTGGAGCAGGAACTGTATGACAACGCTGCACGGGGCATCGTAGTGCCGGCCCACTTGCACTTGTGCTGCTGGTCGCGGTGCTCACCGGGTTAGTTGGTGCAGCCACCCTCATGCTGCAGTTCCTAGCTGCGTGATGGAAACCACTGCCTGCTGCTACCCTCTCCTTTCATTGTGCATGTCTTATCGGTAGCAGTGATCAAACATGTCTCATTTATACATCGGTAATGCTGGTGACAACTGTTTTACATTACAAAATGTTAGCATTTCTTTGCTGAACATAGGGCAGTTTACTCTGGCATTCTAATGATGTTCTTGCATTCAGTTATAATATTAACTCAAAGAAGTAAGAAATTGAATTGGTCTGAAGTAATAAAGCCATATCAGAGATTTAGCCGGTTGTGTCATATGACATGCGTGTTACATTCTCTTAAATTTGAACATTTGTTTGTAATTTTCTTCATTAGATGGCTGTAGACTGAAATGAAATTGTTAGATGAAAAATTGAACTCCCTACGTTTATACTGATAACTTTAAAAATATACCCCCAAGCAAAAGTCACCAGATTAATGAATGACTGTTACTTTTGATGCAAGAATATAAGTATTGTACAAAAAGGTGTTCAGATTATGAGTGTGGTGGTGAGAAATTACATATTTTAGTGACTTGTCTCTTTTAAAGAATATTAATTTGAGAGCCTGATATGGAGGACAGGTTTCTAACCACTGGTCTAGACAGACGTGTCATACAGCAAGTGCATTTTACAACTGACACTGCTGTCACAGTCTGTCTCAGGATCATGGCTAGGTCCTAAGGCACAAGCCTTTGCCTTCATTTAACTCTACACAGTTGGTAATACCAGTACATTTTTCCTGATCATTCACAGTGATCCCAGGTAGATGATCTTTAGCCTGTGCTAAAGCAGGAGTGGGAAGTTTATTTTCTTGGGGCCTAATTTACATAGAAGGTTGTCTATAAGCATGACACTCATTGTTTGAGAGCTACGTAAAAGGCACTCACTTTATCTGTGAGATGGCATATGATATGATTTTACATGTTTCTCAAATTAAATTAAGCACTAGGAAGAAGAAAATATAATGTTTTGTTCATAGCTGTAATTTTCTGGGTATCTGCGTTTTGAAGTTCAGGGTTGATACATCAAGTAACAACAAAAATTTAACTTACACAAAAAATTATAGATTAATGAAATGTTAACCCTTTCAGTATTTTTGTGTGTTTGAATCCAGCAATTGTCATTTTTGTTGAAAATTTGAACAATACAAATATCTTCCAGTATAATGATGAAGGGAATAGGGCCAACTCTCAAAACACCTGTATACTGAATTAAATGTACCTGAGACCATGGGCAGTGTCAAACTTAATTGTGGTGTAGTGAATCAACATTTTGGTCGTGATGTTTTTGAAAATCAAGTATTGGGTACACTACTTTGAGTTACTATTGATTCCAGATGGAGGAATATCACTTTCTTAGATGCTAGAATGCTGACGGCACAACACAGTTACTGACACGACCATCCATTTTGCCAGTGGAAATAATCCTGGTTGATTGAGTGGCAGATTGGTCATATGAACATGACTTGTTATTGTGAGAAAGTACCAAAGTAAGACTTTACTATGAAGTTGTTAATTGGATGGTCCCTCCTATGCAGCATACTATAATCGCCCCTCAAAACATGTGAAGGTATATTTCTACCTGAAATCATAGTATATACAACAATATTAATCTTTGTTAAAAATTTGGGATGATATTTTTGCAAGAAGTATGTATGGCATCATTATATCCATGTGCATGTCTGGACCTCCTTTATAACTTTTTAACCAGTTTTGATGATGCCAAACAGAATAGTTGAGCCTAATACACATGTACCTTTGGCTGGATTTTCCCAATTTCAGCAATAGCAAGAAGTCTAATAATATCTTTTCAGCTAATTTTCTTTCACTTTGCCGTACAAATTCAAATATTCGCAGAACATGAAGTATGAGAATATTTTGGGTTTGGTAAAGAACAGAAATATGCAAACTGAAAACAAGTGTTGCCCTGAGGACACAAATTTTATTCTACCGTATCTTTAAATAGAATTACCTGAACAGACTTTTACTTTGATAATTTTGTTGAGGGACTATCCACCACAAGGTGTTTTCTTTCAACAGTGATCTATTCAGTGAAGGACTTGCTTCACCGAAATACACAGATCTCATTGTAGTTAGCTGTTAGTTATGATCATTCACCAGTTATGACTATTATCTCTCCCAAGATGTATAGAAATGATTTATTGTAAAGTTTCTTGGCAGCAGAGCAGTTACCACATAGCCAAACTTCACCTCTGAGTGCAAAATTAGCCAGCATATTTTAAATATGGTAATATGTAACACTTATTTTAACAAACATTTCTGGGGTGACTTCATTAAAGTTTGGTAGTAGGAGAATAGTGATTTGTTTCATTGCAATGAGTTGTTATTGACTGAGACTATACATTTCATCAGACATTAACTGTATGAACAAGTTGCACTTATACCTGATTTACATTAATCTGGGAAACTGGGATAGTGGCTATCCTGAGTCCCCCTCCCTTCCTTGCAGGTGAATGATGGTAGAGGTGATCCCACAAGAGCTTCTTAAAGTGTGACAGGCTCTACAGGTGAGGTTGAAAGCACGGATGAAATGGAAACTGAAGTGCTGCTTGTACTCCTCATGATAATAGAATAAAACCACAGACATGCGAAAACACAAATAGCTGAAGTGCATAAAATGAGAGTAACCTCTACTGTAACCCTTTCTCTGTTTACAGCATTATTCGATGCTGAGAGTGCACACTTCTTTCCCATGCATTATGACATCTTTAACGCAGTATTGGAATGATGAGAACTTGAGATTGAGATACATTTAAATGTTGAAGTTTTTTGATAGGATTTAATCGCTGTTGACTGAAAAATTAATACAAATATTTTGTTGTAATGGCCTGCAGGTATTGCCCAGAGTTCTATAGAAATGGTTGAAAGTAGGCCATGACTACTTCCTGCTGTATTCATAATCATCTTGCACTAGGTTTAAATCTGAGCCCTGAAATTAAGTATCCTGATGTGACATTATTTGTGGATTCCCTCAATCCTTCCAGGCAAATGCTTTGATAACACCTTAAAATAAAGCATTACTACTTCTTTCCATATTGCTTCCAATTCATCTTTCACAATAATGCTATTGATGGATGCTGTGTAACCTATGCATTGGAAAAATTCTGTTAATTAACCAATGAACCATTCATTTATCATGCTCCAGCATTTCATTTGACAGTACATAATAGTGTTATAAAGTGATGATATACACTAAATACAAAATCATCTCGTACCCAGAGGATATTGATGTTGCCTATAAGTTTATATCTGTATAATGTTCCCATGGTAGGTGGTCTGCTCGTAGTAACTGCTTGTGATGACTGACTCTGTCCAGCTTACCTGTACTGCAGAGTTCTTGAAACTTCTGCCACTGGAAAGTCCAAAGAAATATCACTCTTATGGATATGTGGCCTCTTTACAGAACTGTGCATGAATTTGTTTTTTTATTAACAAGGTTACTAATTTACAACATTAATAACAAAATATTTTATTCCAGTTAGACTTTCTATGCAAATCAAACTCACACACATTCAGTCACTAAAAACACACTACATACACTTATAAATGAGAAAGAGATACTGAAACTTGCTTTTGAAACTGCAGCCATCCATTTTTGCTCACATTTACTAATTCTTGAGCTATGCAATGCTTTGAATGAATTCAGCTTATAAGCATCATTAAAAAACTGGTTTTAGTCATTCTTAAAACTCTTGTATATTTTTCTGTCTTCTGTAATATAATAAAAAATCTGGGGGCTTAAATAATTGAAACTTTTGGTCTGTCTAATTTGTTCTCTTAAATCTTACAATCCCATTTTGCTAATAGATTGTTTTTTATTATAAAGTTGTCAGTTGGAACTACTTATTCCTTCAAAGGTTTATAATCTATTGCATATGGTGTAATGTAACAATTGTATTGCTTGCAGCATTTCTGATAATTGAAATGGTTTTTAAGTCATTGTCATATTGAATAGTCAGTTTATTTTCTAACTGAAGTTGAATGTGGCTTAGCACAAATAAAATGGAAATCAGAAATGTGTGAATTTGGTGTCTTGTACAAGGATTTATCTGTTTACAGCTATGAAGAACTGTTTTTAGGCTGTTTGAGCTATGTTTATTAAAGATGAAGCGACGTGGTGTGAAGTATAGACAGTTTGCACAGCTATGCTTTTAAACTTTCTAATACCATGTGCTGGTGATATTTTTCATCTTTATAAGATCTTATATACATTTCTGATTCATAAGACAGTTACTAATGTTTATAAGTGTTGAAATGAAGGTGTTGACCAGTTTGTGAATGATGTTCTACAGACTTCATTTATATAACATGGTTTCTTATGTTATAAATAATGGAACAGGCAGAACAAGAATGCAGCAATGGGTTTCATTTGTGTCAACTTCTTGTAGCAGAATGACTATCTGTGACGTTAATGTGGAGATTGACATTTTGGATGTTCAGAATATTATTTCTTTTTTTGCAAATCACAGTACACCAGAACTTGTTAAATGTGGGCAATGAGTAATCAAGCTTAACATCACAAGTTGATATACAGTTTATTTTTGGATAAGCAGACAATATGCAATACCCAAGGTCTCTGTCAGCAAGAAAGATGAAATTAGTGATGTTGGTGCACAAGTAGTAGGATTTGAATCGTACTCAAGCCAAGCGTTTTTGTTGTAATATTTTATAAGCAAAGTTCATTTCATAATCTCCAATAGGACATGTAATGGATAGGATACAAAATATGGAGAGTCTCCTAACTTAATGCCAAACTCACCTAAAGGTAAGTACACCCTGTTTTTAGAAATGAGATATGGAAAGTGTGTCATGTCAATGTAGCCTTTAAACTGATTTTGAAAAAGTTTTTTTTTCCAGAGATTTGGGATAATTTACTAAAGTTTGAGTTCAATATGTTTAGCAAATTGACAGTCAAATAACCAGTACGGTTGTGTCAGTTTTAATCGGTCATTCTGTTTAATAAATTGACAATCAAATGTTCAGTACAGTCATATCAGTTTACTTGGTCACCGTCCATAAACCTGCCAGTATATCTAAGGTATCTCAGAAACTAATAATAGTAAGCGTGGGTAGTGATATAAAATGCTTGGAAAAACAGGTATACTCATAACTGAAATCATGATAAAAATTTGAGAGCTGTAGGAAATTTACAGAATTATTGGTTGATTAATGTAGAGTTGATTTATTTGTATGTTATTGTGCTCATCATAATATCTACTCTAAAAAACAAACTTAAGGAAATAAACTTCAGATTAAAATAATAAAAATGTGTCAGTGGAATTTATTTCACTGTGTATGTTACAATTGTACCAGTATGACGTACATTAAATTCTTACAATATTTTATTTTCCGTCTATACACAAACTTAAAATAATGTTGTTTAAAATTACTTAAAATTATAACATTCTCAGTAGATACTGCATCTTGTTACATTTTTTTGTATCGACGACATGTTTCAATGTGTATTACATCATCATCAGGTCTATCAATTTTAATATATTTTAAAAACTGTTGTACATAGGTCTATGTTATAATTTTAAGTAATTTTAAACAACATTATTTTAAGTTTGTGTATAGACGGAAAATAAAATATTGTATCAATAAAACACTAACATGACGCAATTAAGATATAAATTAAATTCTTGTAAGTGAAAACTCGGTATACCACATGAAGGTGAGGTGGGTGTTAAGACAGCAGGGACTTCACATTCCTCATAATGCCCCTTATACTTTGTGACTGTTTTGGTCCCATTCATTTGTGTATGCTGTTGACAGTTAAAAACTTGTTTGTACATGGTCAGAAATTGAATATATATACAGTCATTTCTGCTATAAGGTGGTAGTTGCATTTCTGGAAAACACCAAGTTACAGAAACATTGGTTCTGTTGGAATTAAGAGGTTAGAGTATAGTTGACAGTTCTCTGAAAGTGTAGCTTGTAGTAAAAATAATTCACTATTAGTGTATTCGTAGCCAGGTTAGGAACAATTGGAGCCTTTTTCATACCTTCATTTCTGGCTTGCTTCTCTGAATTTCTGTATTTGCTGTATTTCAATCATGTATCCAACATGCACCCGCGTTATGGAAACAGCTTTTTCTTATAATGCAATCGTCTTATATCCAATTCACATGAAAACATGCATTATAGGAGAAATGACCGTACTTGGATTATTGTAATTTGTAGGTAACCGAAAACTGTCTTGGTATGAAGTTTTGTGATTGGGTTACATAATTTTGTAGAAATTGTTTTATAATTTGCTTTGTGTATGTGACATTACGTTTTTTATGACAGGATATTCATTGTATCATATTCTGGGTATTACACCATGTTAAAGTGGTAAAGATTACTGATGTTTTACAGGAACTTGTTTCCTACATCAGAGCTGATGTGATGGACAATTAGTCTGAGGGTTTTTACTACTTTGATGTCTTGTGATACAGAGAAATCTGTGTAATGTAAATATATTTACAAGTTTTTGGATATGTAACTAACCTAATAACATTGATTTGTAAATTTGTAATGTATGTGTTACAACAGAAAATAAGGAATAATTAATAATGTTAGTCTCTTGCCCAGATCAGACTCCTTATCATGATTAATGCCTGTAAAAATCTGATTTCCTAATATTTATGATTATTTCTGTCCTTACACGTATAAAATTGATCTTTACATTTTAAGAAATTACCAGAATATTTTGTATTGTTTAGTACTCTTGTAGTGAATGGTGCTTTAGTTATGACAGTTTGTGGTATTTTTTCAATCAGTACTTTTCAGAACTGCAGAAAACAAACAAAGTCCTTGCCAGAATCAGATTTCTGATGTTACTCATAATTACATTTGTCAACTAATAGGAAATTTCCAAAATGTTTCCAAATTTTTCGTAACTTTTGCACTGAACACTTTTCTCAGAAGAAACATTCATAAAGGTTTCTGTAACAGCATTTTCCAAGAATAGAGGGGCATGCAAATTGGTTGTAATTTCTCTTTGTGTTCATAACAGGAGCTGTAGTTTTGTTTTTATAGCATTTTATAGGATGTTTAAAATCAGAAGACAAGGAACTAAGGAGTCAGATTTTTACACAGACAAGCTAGATACTTAATTGTTAGAGTGTTCAGGTACTTCAAGCAAGAAGCAGAGAGAGCATGTAAGTGCAGGCTTGTGTATGTCTAGTTCATTTCTTGCTTTACACTTGTGGTTGGTCCATTCATTTTAACATAAGTCTGTAAGGACATGAATGTTGTAATGTCCATAACATTATTCAATTCGGGCCAAGGGGTGTCCTAATTGAAATGTGTAGTTCTTCTACCATTTGATATAATTCGATGGATAGAAAATCTGCGTTCTTATCCAAGATTTTTTCACATGGACAGCAGTGTGATGATGACACTGTGTTATGGCATCCTAGTTTGCTGATGTTTCAGAGAACATGGCTGGCTGGCTCTATCTTCATTGTGTCCTGATGACATGTTCTGAGCAGTGGGGTATTTAATGCTTTGGTTGATGGAGAAGAGAAAGGGCACAGTGCATAATTACCCATCTCCTCATGACTCAATATTACATATGCTAATTTATGTTACTGTTTAGTACCTTTGTCTTGAGGATGGAGGCAGCCAGAATGATTAAAGAAAAGAGCAATGTTGTCACCTAAGAAAGAAATCAGTTAACTACAAACTGCCATGAATAAAGGTGTAAAAACTTCTGAAGAATTTTTGTGACATTCTGCCACTTGTAGTAAGGTGCTTTTTGTTGTAGGATTTGAGGTTTTCATGGCAGTGAGTCTGAAGTTGGCTGTCTTCTGGGTTGTTGTGCAAAATAATAATATGAATTTTTTTGCTGTATTTCTTTTAGAAAATTATTTTTGTTATTTATTTCAGTTGTATATTTATGTATAGTTATTCTCTTCTTTCAGAATGGAAATTAATAGTGAAACAGCGTATGAAAGTCGGGAACACAATTCTTGGACTATATTCATCGTTTTTGTTTTTAAAAAGAACACTGCGTTTTGGAAGCTGAACTACTTCTGTCCTCAAGTTAAAAAGGGGGAGAGGGGCACCTACTCAGTTGGGTTCGATAGAAAAAGCTAACCTCAATAACTTGACTTTTAACCTGCGGATGGAAGCAGATCCAGCTTACAAAACATAGTGTTCTTTGGGGGGGGGGGGGGGGGGGGGGCATGTTGGACATGGTCCAAGAATTTTGTGAACCTGATTTTAACACACCATCATCGCTACTCTTTAAAAGTGATTGTATGAAAGTGTAACTTGTTTTTTCAGGTTAAGTTGGTGTCTGTAAGAAGAGGAAGAGGAATGAAAGAGACATAATATCAAAATATTTTAAATATGAGTCAGAATTTTCTGATTTACTGGGCAAGGGTCCGATATAAATTGTGAACTATTGGTATTTAAGGAAAGTGTATAATATTGTCTGCGTGTCCAGAATGCACTTTGTAAAGCTGAAGAGCTTGTGGTAAATCCACCCTGAATTGAAAACCTACTTACAGGAAACAAATGTCATGATAACATATAAAAACATTTGTAGCTTTTCTCTGCAGGCATGGCCATTACAAGTTTTTGGTATATGTAGTTCATGTTATTTTCCACTCATATCTTCCATTCCTGAATCCCAGGTTTAGCAGAGTGTAAAATGAATGTGTAATAGTCAGGTTGTATCTGCATGTAATGTTAGTACTAATTCCCCAGCATTTGACAAAATGTTAAGCGATTTTAGAGTTTTGTGCAGGCAATTACGTTCCAAGCGAAAATGAGTGCACAAATTCGTCGTCTTGCTTGTAACGCCACTGTCACATTGGGCTTTAAATGCTGTATAAAGCAGTGGATAACTTATGATTGTCGAGGTAATGGGGAGCTAGGACCATGACCTACATTGAACTTAAGAACTGAGTGTTGCGGGTGTGAGTACCGCTTGGCACCAGTGCTCTTGCTCTTGACTGGTGAGTCCACCTGTTCAACTATCGATTTCATGAGGCCAGGTGGCGTCTGCATCACGGCCAGTTCTCCGCATGGCCCAGCAACGTGTGGGTGGCGAGTGACGGTTGACGTTTGTGTTCGTGTGAGTACTGGCGTATATCTATAGCTTCAGTTAGGATTTTCCTCCATTATAACTGTTGTCCTCTCCGTTTATCTGTCTTAAATTTTAAACCAATTTACTGATTTTCATGTTACGTATTCCAGGCGTCATATTCCTGCTTGTGCTCGTAAATACAGCATGTTTCAAAAGTAGCTTTACAACTTGAGGGCGAGATATTGGTGAACTGATAGGAGAAACATATAATTTCAGAACATAGAAATGTAGTCGAACACTTCCAAGTTTTATGTCCATCGGATTTTTATGGTTTAATGTGACTTCCATTTGTTATGCGGCAGACGTGCTATCTGTAGTCAATATCTTGCCACACGCGGTGTAGCATCTCCGGTGTCACTTCAGCAATTGCGGCCGTAATTCGAGTTCGGAGTTCGGCCACATTTGCAGGTAAGGGTGGCACGTACACTCGATCTTAACAAATCCCCACAATAAAAAATCTAAAGGTGTTAGATCTGGGGAACGAGGTGACCGTGCTATTGGTGCGGCCCGACCGATCCACCGTCCAGGGAAACGGTTGTTGAGGTACTCGCGCACTTCTCCGAGGTAATGAGGGGGTGCACCATCTTGCTGGAAGTGAATGCGTCCTTCCTGGTCATCTTCGTCAAGTTGAGGAATGAGGAACTGTTGGAGCAGATCCAGATATACAACGCCAGTAATGATCTCCATGAAAAGGAAGGGCCGTACACTTTATCTTTGCTTAGGGCGCAAAACACATTAACTTTTGGACTGTCACGAACATTTTCCAGGAAGGCACGTGGATTTTCACTACCCCAAATCCTGCAGTTGTGGGTGTTGCCCTTACCAGTGACATGGAACGTGCTTTCGTCACTGAAAATTACTGAGTCCAGAAATCCTTCGCCGTCTTTAACCCACCGCAACATTTTCGGCACTACAGTTTATGTGCATGAAACTTGGTGTGTTTGGCTAAATTTGTGCATTTAAAAATATTGCGCACGTCCTTTAAATAAATTTATATTCCCCTGCGAAGTTGTAAAGCTACTTTTGAAACACGGTGTATTATACCCTCAGCAGTGGCGGCTAGTGAGTCTGAGCAGTGGTAGTTCTGCGCAAGGGGGAAAACTCAGAATAGATTTTCAACACATAACAATATAAATAAATGAAAAGTAAATTTACATCAGGAGAAAACCCATACGTGCTCGACGATGTTTTATCTATTTGTTACTCCGGAAGAGGGCGGCCAAGATATTTTACATCACTTTTTTCACTCAAAGACAATTTAGAAAAAGTAATTTACTGTAATTATGACACACTTCCTTTGCTCATTGTCATTATCAGAACAAAAATAGTTAGCACATAGAATTATTGAACACTCATTAACAATAACCACGAAACAGATTGCGATACAGAAACCAGTCTAAAACACGTGGTACCGCGTAAGGGTGTTTACTATGAGCCGGCTGCGAGGACTGCAGCCCCGATACGCGCTGTACCAGTGAACTGCCCCTCACTCCACCTCACACCGCGCTGTCTACGTGTGACAAGCAGACGGAGCTGCGAACCTTGAAGCCCCGATCCGCACTGTTCATTCGCGATGAGGAGGGTACGCTATAAATACATTTATGAAAAACCCCGTTCTTTACACATACGTCGGTGACATTTTTACGTCGATAAACAGCAAAAGATTTTCTGCAGAACCGCTAACCTGTCTGCCTGCATACAGATATAAAATTAATTAGCCCTAATATTTGAATGTTTGTGATATGTTTACTAATTTAGATATTTAGATGGGCAGAAACACACGTAGGACTAAATCTGAATCTAAAGAATCCGTGCTTCTTGTTCAATTTTAACCAAAATTGGCACTTGCTGAAAAGTTTTAATAAAACTACCAAATAGTCTTATCAAATTTTACGAAAATCTTTTTAGCAATTTTGAAGTTGGATGGACGGACAGACAGACGTATTGAAGTTAATAGGCGCATTTTTGTAAATTTTGTTGTAAGAGCGCTTAAATTTAACGAATTTATGTGGTGTTAAAATAAAGGGACCTAAGTTAAGAGACGTTAAAATGAAGGCTAAGAATATTAAAAGTTGTTAAATATAACCTAAATTACGCACTAGCGAATATAAAAAGTTTTAATTTAGCATAAAATCTCCGCCAGTATGTAAGGGACACACAGTTAGGCTCAATCCTTGGTCTGAATAATTAGATTGTGTACAGAAAAGGGAATGCAATCCAAGTTTTCAACAAAAACTATGAAATTTCGTAACAACTGGGGAAAAAAAAGAGTTGACAGTGGAACCAAGGTTCCGGAGAATCTGACGTAAATACGTCTCTGTAATGTAATGTAATGTAATGTAATAATGCTTATATAAGATAAGTACCTGTGATATTCTAAAACGTTTCACCAACATAAAATTATCTAGTCTACGACGCACTTCTACAAGAGATTAAACAGCTCAGCTCTTTCCGCAATAACGAAAGCGGATTGTTGACGGAAGTAATGTAACACAACAACGCCGAGTAAACAGATGGCGTTTCCTAGGTAACATAACAATGCATACAAGCTGACCATTGTTATCGGTCCATATTTACACATTGTTGATACGGATCTTACACATTTTCGTTACACTTTTTAATTTAATAAACAGAATGGTGATTTCTGTTATCCACACATTTGTCTCTGTCATTATTAGGATTTCTTTGAAAAAAAGTCAGAATGGGGAAGCACAAGATGACACAGTGGAGTGTGAAAAGTTGAATTCTGCTGCAGATGCGATGCAGTCAGTGGTTGAGTCCTTCAAAGGTTTGACTCGGCATGAGAGGCCTTCAGACATTAAATCTGCCATGTCTGCTGCCAGTAAGTATGCTTTAAATCCTGTTTATTCCATCTTGTGCTGATAAAATACTGTAAATATCAAATTTAAAATTAATTCTAAAATAGTAACCTGAGCTGTTATTGTATTCAAATATTAGCACAGGTCTTGTAAGTTTGATGATACTGATGTATTTTAGAGGACATTACAGTTATTTGAATGTTGAGGATTGTTGAGAAAGTAAATTTTACAAGGCTCATATATAGAATTAATTAATAGAATTTTGATATGGCCATGATTCATATATTATTTTTATTTTTCCGAGCCACTACTAGTACCATGTTATGAAGCAGTAAAATCCCAAAAAGTTCAGGATGTGAAAAACAATTTTTGGAAAGTTTTGACAAAATCATGTTTATTGATATTTTAAAACATGTTTAAAAATATGATTGCACAGTTTACACATGCAGTGTGATTGCAGGTTGTGCAGACTCGTCCTCTTTGGGAAGTCACAAGACAATGAGCATCTCTCCTGTAACAGGTAGAAAGGACAAAAACCCTGTGTACAGGTTCAAGACAAGATGGTGGACGGAGATCCTGTGGCAGGACCGGGTTACTGTGGCATACCTTACTTACGAGACAGTGATGGAGATTCTGACGAGGTGTAACATCACTGAAAAGAACCATAACCATCGCTCACTGGAAAACGTACTCAGGTTGGATTAAGAAATTTTGAATAGTTTATTTGTTCATTCATGTATTTTTGCTTTTTCAAGTTGCAAGACTTACAAGTGTTTAGGATGTGTCTGATATGAATGTCAGCTGAGTTACTGGCTATCCTGACAAAGATTTTATCTGAGTTTTCTTGATGTACTTTGATAATTGCTGAGAAAATATCTTGAAACAGGCTAAGGCTTGCTTTTTCAAATCAATTACCTATTCACCATTCCTGATTATCTTTACCATCTCATTCTCTTCTCTTGAATAGTCTGCATTCATCAGATAGTGATTTATTTTTCTTTCATTTAGTATCTAACATTCTGCTCACTAAATTAGTTTATCATAATACCATCCTTTCTTCTGACATGCATTGGTACCATAAACTGTTTTTTTCCTCACAAAACAGAAATAGAAACAAAGTCTACAGAGAGTAGTGAAGAAAAAGGGAAGTCAAAATTAGGATAAACTTTTTGTTTTAACCAAAGTTTATTGGTATATTTCTTTTTAGTAGGGCCATACCTATTTGTCACATTGCTTCTTTCCAGAAGAAGGTGATACTTCAATATATGTATACCACTCACCTCTGATAAAAGTAAATCTGTATGAAACTGGAGAATGCTATGTCAAATCATCGTACAGAATCCATATTAAACTGTAGGTCCCATCTACCAGCCACATTATTTTTATCATCTTATGATTTAGAATAACTTAGTTTGCCTTGTAGATGCCTCTTGTCAGGAGTGGACTGTTCATTCTTATCCAGGTTGGGCAGAGGCTAGGAAGGTTGAATAGTATATGACTGGAAGCATTAGTTTTATCAGCACATTATGCAGTGCAGAAGATTTTTTATCATAAAATTTTACTTAACTTTGTTTTTACTTGCTTAATCATCATTCTTTACTCTCCCTTTAAATGAACTTCTTTCTTTGTATTTTTTTATTACAGGTTATCAAGCTTGTACAATGAAGTCTTGGTCCTTGGTGCTCATGATAATAAGAGTGTTGCTACCTTTTGCCGTAATACATGCCCCAGCTTGCTGCATCCTCTGCGAAAGCTGTCAATCACAAAGATTCTTCAGGTATAAGGGTACCGCTCAAGATTAAACATTGATAATGTTAAAGTATGCCACTGGATAAGACTCTTAGACAGTTCCATTCACCTGTCATTCTCATAGCTTATTTCCTTAAGATCCATCTTAATGCCATCTTCATCTTCTCAGCCTTCAAAGCAACATTGTTCTAAGAAGTTGCTCTTCTATAATCATGTGCATGTTTTGTCTCCACATCTGTAATACATGTCCAGTCCATTACAACCTGTTAGATTTTACCACCCTAACAACATTAGGTTACCTATTAGTCACAAAGTCTGTTGTTGAATATCTTGAATTCCCCACTCAAATCATCCTTCATAAATCCAATTATTTCCGTGTAAGATTTGAGGTTTTCACAGCGGTGAGTATGAAGCTTTCTGTCTTCTGGGTTCATCGCCCTGATGATGGAGGCAGTATGACCTCTGAAACGTTGGTAACCATCGACCAGACTACACAGCGCAACAACACAGAAGACAGAAAGCTTCCAATTATTTCCCTTAGTACTTTGTTTTCAAATGCTTGTAATTTACATTATTTCAAAGTTATGTGACTAAATTTGCTATTATATGAAACAACTGGCAGAATTATTTTTTTATGTATTTTTATTTTAAGTTCTTTAAAAAGTAAATTAGACAATAACACTTTTTGCACTGGACATCGGGCATATCCTGAATTTATTGTTATTCTAATTTTTTCATCATGAACCTGGTTGATACAGTACCGTTCATTATCCCATGAACTAAACTTTACTTTTGTGTACTTTATGCAGATACTGGCACAGAGCCGTGCTGAGAAGTGCTGCCACTTTCTGGTGAAGAGCCTTCTGGACACTTACAAGCCTATACACTCATCTGTTTCTGTCACAGAAAAAGATCACAGTGAGATAATCACCTCGGATAATTCTGACAACTCTAGCATTGAAGTATATCGGTATGTTACACTACTGTCCTGTGATATACAGTACTAGTTTGTAATTGATATGAAGGACAGTGGCTGTCTTATCTGTTTTTAAGTGGCTTCTGTGTTTGCATAAAATTCATTGCTTACTGACTTACATCATTTATAACAATACTGTACAGGTATTATAAACAGGTCTCCACCTTGTCGAACTCTGACTTGTATTTCGGCATTAATTTTCCCAGTATTTTTTAAGTCTTCACTTATCTATGTCTCCCTCTAGATCTTCCTTGCTGTCTTGCCTGACATACTTAGGCTATATTTAATTTTCTATTTTATTTTTATTTTTTGTCTAAGTAAGGTTTGAATGCCCTCTTCCAGGATTATCTGTCTCTAGACCTTAGAGCTTCTTCCTTTCTCATAATTTTGTAGTATATTCTGAGTATACTTTTCCTATGTTTGTTTCAATCTTCCATCTGTGTTGCTTCCAAACTAAAGACATCTTTCATTTCCCTTCCTCACTCTCATTATATTTCTTCTCTCTTCCATTTGAGTTTTGCCATTTAAACCTTCTTAATTTTACATTCCAATGATCTGTATAAATCATAAAGGCCCCCATTACATATTTATCATTCATGCAGTACCCATTTTGAATATCATCCAGGTTGCTGGCTGTTTTTTCAAGTGTTTGTGGTTTTACTCAGTCATTTATGGTGATTGTTATAATAATACATGTGTGACTTTCCAAATCCTTACCTCTTCACCATATACATAATCTGTGTATTGAAACAGCATTAATAAATATCATAATAATTGATCTTTCAGTTCTGTTTACGTCATGTCTTTTTCTCTCATTTTAAATCATGGCTTCAGTGATTGCTTTCTGTGGTGCTTGTGATACACAGATTCTCATTTCTGCAGGGCTCTGACTCAGCACATGACTCCACCTTGTATGACCTCAGTTCTGACCCCAGTAGAGAATGTGGGAGCTGTAGTAGTGGACGGGATTACCACATTACGGCTCTCATGTAGCTCAGACCTGGAATTTGCTCTAGTAGAAGAGGAGGCACATGTGTCTGTGTTGCTGAGTGTAGCTGCACGCATTGCACCTCATCTGTTGGGATCAAGTGGTGTCAAGGTTTCCCGCACCTCAGGCATGTACGAATATATTAATTGTGTTTAAAGAATTTTATGGGGATATTCTTTTATCTTTGAGAGATATTTAAGACTACCAGAGATAACAGCTGCAACTTGAACATATTGTGTGTCTCAGTGTAGTAGTAAGCATTGCTGGTATGTGTTTGGAAAGTGTCCAGTTTGTATCTTGACCAACAACATGTTGAATACATGAATTGTATATTTAGCATTCTGTTTAATAGTGATATTACTGAACCATTAGAGTTAAGGCACTTGAAATTTGGTGTTAAAGTAATTCATGAATATACTAGAAACTTTTTCATGAAGTATTTGCGATGTTGAGAGCTGGGATAGCTAATTCACTATAGTGATTGGCTATGTATTGAATATCCCCCATATGTCTGCAGGGACAATTATATCTTTATTTATATATGTTAAAAATTAAGTGTGAATAAGGCAGGAGATTTTGAGGTTAGGTATGTAAATGGTAAGGTAGAGGCACAGGGAATCTACTAGTGGTAGTAAATCTCCAAAATATATCGCTAACTGCAGTATATACTAGACAATCTGTACAGTATAAAGTAAATTATGTTCATTAGGTCTGCTCACAGCTTATTGTTTGAATTTGAATGATGACTGTAGAACCCTTACTGCTAGTGTGTTTTCATATCTGCCACCCAGAGGTGGGTGCAAGTAGTGATGCAACTAATGGATACATCTGTTACAGAGGATCAGCTTCATTCATGTTGGAAATATATGCCATATTTGTGCTACCAATCTACTCAACATTAACATTATAAGGATTAAAAAATAAATTTAAGTAATACTCTCCTGTAAAGTGTTGCAGCTACTGTAATTTTGTCAGCGAAAATTTACAAAGATGAACTGTTGCAGGCATACGCCGTGTTTCAAAGCAGGCTCGAACAAAGGTGGTGGAGTACTACCAGCAAATCCTATGGGGTGAGGTTGGATCTTTCTCAGAACATGTACTACTGTGGTGGGGAGGTGGCCCTCTATTTGGCTCCCTTCCTCCTAAGAGTTGCCAGCTCCTTTGTGATTGGCTGCATTCATTCATATCTCCTGGTGAGTTCATCTTGTCAAGTGATAAAATTATATTGTTTGTGATGTGACATTTTCTGTGTCATAAATGTTATGTTTTTTAAAGTTAAAGGAAAAGTTGTCCCTGTGTCTAAGCACCAAGCCATGGAGATGTATGGAGGATTGGAGGCACAAAGCAGTGCATTCTTAACTGCAATACCAGGTGGAAGTGAGTGGTCAGCTTTATGCTGTGGCTGCTTTACTCCCATAGAAACAGTCCCTCAGTACTCACAGGCCTGGTTGAGCCCTAGAACCAGCCTGAAGATGGTGGCAAAAAGAAATCTCAATGCCCCTGCTGGGACTCAAGCCCCAATAATCTAACTTATAGCCAGTCATTGTTTGTGCTATCCTACCTTTGTATTTTTTTAAATTTAATGTAGCGCAGATTAAATAGAATTATAAACAAACTGCATGAAGAATGAAAGAAAGACCAAGGTAATGCTAGAAGGTGGACTTGAGGCTGATATAGTATAAACTTGTTTATTTGGTGATGATTTGGAGGAGGAGTAGAAGAAAACACTCAAGCTACACAGTTCCATCCTGTCACAAGTCGACAAAACAGTGAGAAAGCACAGCTTTTTCGGTGATTTTTTTATGGGACGAAGAATAATAGTAAGATTAACATTATGCTGGAATGTGAGACTGGTGTAACATTAAGTTGCTTAATTGATGATGACATGAAGAAGAAGAAAACTACACACTGAAGCTACACAGTTTAATCCTCTAAGTAACCATAAAAATAGTAAGAAAGCTCAGAATTTTAATTGAAATTGTGTTTGCTTCTGATTAAAATAAAGGAATTGTATGTGATAAAAATTAAATTATACCATTGGTCTGATCTCTTAAAACATTTGTATTCTATAAAATATTAATAACAATGTAACATGCTTGCTCATCTGAATCTGCATGTAGTTAATCTGGTTTTTGTAACTTATAAATGGAGACACAAGACTCTGAATAACTACCAGCTAAAATTCAGCAGTCAATATCTTACACGCACATTATGTGTTCTGATTCTAGTTGTTGTACCAGAGCACGTGGTGCCAGCAATACATAGCCTGGCAGATGGGCTTGGTTGCCATGTTGCTAGTACGTTGTGGGACCAGCTCTTCAGACTGACCTTGGTGCAGGGACGCAAATTTGCATATAGTGCAGACAAAGAGAAAGTAAGAACTACCTTAGTGATTTTCATTCACCTAGATGAAATTATGCACAGCAATGAATAACTAAATTGTATAATTATATGTCAATTTATGTTTCTACTAAACTCACCTTAGAGATTGAACCATGTTAATGAAGAAAGCTTAAGAAGTCCTTTCAGGCATGTTAAGGAAGAAAGCTTAAGAAGTCCTTTCAGGCTATCTTGATGTGTTATTATTTCTATATATGGTCCATTAATTGGGATATCTGTGTTCTGACAGACCAACAGTAAGGTAATAAGTTGTTCATTGATGTTTAGGGGTCAGTGTGTGGCCAGCTGTTTGTTGACTTGCTTCACCAGTTGGTGACCCTTAGTAATTCCTGTGAGCCCACAGTGTCCATTGATCTGCTTCCAAACCAAGCATTAGAGGATTTGCCATTGGTAGAGCAGATTCCAGTCCTGCACAGACTGGATCATTCTGTGCACATGGCCAGATTGTGGGCTGCCAACACTGCACGGCATCTTGTTAATTCGTGGTCTGTAGATGCTTTCTTTGTGATCACTCAAACTGACATCAGTCTCTGCCTCAGAGAACTCCAAATGCTCAAGGTATGCTGTTGGGAATAATAGCTTTTCATCTTGTGATGACAATAGCATATACTGAATCACTGTTTCTTTTTTCTTCTTCTTCTTTTTAAATTTTTTCATCCACTTTCTTTTGTCCCTATTTTGCTTCTTTATTTTTCAAAGTTCTTTGCCACCTTTCTGCCCTCTACAGCAGTTATTTGAAACATTTTTCACTGTGGTGGTTACATAATTAAAAACAACGAAAAATAATTTTTGACTCCGTAGTATGATTAACCCTATAAAAATAGATTTTTATTTGCAACAAATGAACATGAAAGCCAATGAAATGTGCAAAATTACATATAACACATTAGGAAAGTATGTTTGTTCCATAAAAATACATTTTTCCATTCATATTTTAGCTTACAGATCACAAAGATTTTTCTGAGGTGCATAGTGAACATGTAATGGTATGTGCCAAGATGCGTTCCAAACTGACATCTGAGGTACGTGAAAACATCTGCAAGTTGAAGGTGAGTGTAAGGCTTCTGTTGTATCCACCATTAATATTGTCATCAAAGTCATTATTGCACAATATAATACAAAACAAATTTATAGCTGCTAAACTGGAAATGGCCTTTCATTGTGTACAAATAGTGTTGGTTGCCACTTTTCCTACTTTGTGAGTTCAGCTGTGGAGATAGCGAGATCGCAGTAACATAACAGAGTGAAGTTTAATTACCTCCATTACAGGTGAAGTTGAAATAGTTCCCCATTGACTCTGATACATTCTCTACATCTTCTATACAGATTCTGCTTTTTTAAACCTACTGGGCACAAGGTTATGTATGAGGACAGTTTGTTGATATACCATAGAAATTTATTGACAAGATTAGAAAAATGTACTCTTCGGAGTACACGGATATTTGAAATGTCGTGCCTGTCTACCTGTACCAGCTGTTCACCTTGAGCAGTACACAGTACAATGCATATTCTATAAACTGAAACAAAATGCACTCTATCTCATAGATTTTGATAATATTTTTAATAATCACATTGCATCATGTCTAGTAATATTATAGGAAATATGTTGTGAGAAACATTTGCCTTTGTGTACAGAGAATTGTATTCATAACTGACATAATTGTCAGAAAGGTGAAGTAATCTTGTAAATTAATTTCCTTTTCCTTTGTTGCTGTTCGGCTTAATGACATATTTGTCGTGATTTCTAACATGTCAGCTTTCTATAGAGACGTGACCTATTGAAATCTGTAAGAAATGCATATAAACTAGAAACTTTAAAATATGGTGCTGAACAAAGATCAGTGTCCTGCTTTTTTGCTGGATAGTGTGAGGTACACAGGCAACAGACTGCCTTCCCACTATGAGTGTGTTGTGTGAGGAGAGGGGTGGGTGAAGGCTAAATTGGTTGACATGTTCCTGAGCTGCAAGCTTGTGTTGCTCTCAGCAGCTGCTGCCAGATGAGTGTATACAAGGCATGGCAACTGTGTGTCGTACCATCAGTCTTGCCAATCTGCACATGTGCTTTCCCAAGCCACATTATTGGAGACGCTCATCCAGTACGCCACCCAAACCTGCTAGTCCATATGTTCAAGAATATCTTGGTGAGTCTTTGAAAGTTAGTATATATGTTTTTGTCAGCTTCAGCCAGTGGCATAACGAGTGAATTTAAATAAATCACAGCTACTCCGACTCCCTTGATGATGGTTTACTTAAACACCTAACAATTAATGCCTTGTTTATGTACTTTAATCTCTATCAGGAAGTAATAGCCATCTCAGTTTTATTACTTATTACACTTAACATACAGATGTATGTATTCCTAGACATTTTTATTGTAATATGAAATTTGTGTGAATGCAATGTGTATTTTGTAATCAATGACAAAAATAAATATTTGGTTTCCATAGAATTTAGGGAATTGCTTCACTAGCTGAGTGTACTATTACCTATGCACAGACTCTGCTGTATGCAGTTAGTTAGTTGTAATTATGACAGATTTCTTTATAACATGTTAAATTACAGTATTAAACTCAGTGCATGAAATGTGTGTGTGAATGGTCGGTACCTGAGTGAGTAGTGGGGGATGAAGTTCTTTGTACTGTACGTTCTGAAAGCATTATAATATACCCAAACAAAAAATGAACAGGACACATTAATAAAAATAAGACAGCATAATTTTATATGTTGCAATCATAACCTTCACTCCAAATGTTAAAATAAATATATAAATTTGTGTTATCCTTTTGCAGATCGTGTGTTATGTCCAGTTCTTACTGCACTGTTGCCACTTCCAATTCCAGTACAACAGAGCATTGGGGCTCTGGTCTTGAAACTGCTCTGTGAGGCATGGCTTGATCACATTTATTTACACCGCACAAAGTTCAGGTATATTACTTGGGCATACAAATTGATCCTTTTTTTTTCTGAACTGGATACAGAATATTTTTTTATATTTTTCAGTGAATTTAAACAAAATTATATCAAATCTAAAACTTCTTGACGATGGTGAAGAGTCAATTGAATAAAACTTTTCTTGGATATTACCCATTGTCTAGTAAATATAAAACGTAAAATGACGTTTCGGAGATGGGACTCTATCTCCGTCTTCAGGTTCCTACACAGTTGGGCCCACTAGATAGAGCTAATCCCTTAGTTAGATAGAGTTTCTATAAGCATTACACCTGCCAGTTGCCTATTTTCCCAGAAGTCACTGAATCACATTTGCTTTCTAGGTGTCCTTCACATGCTAGCATGAGTGATTAACACCTTATGGACCCATCCATGTCTGTCTTTCTGTCTCATTTTTCCTATGGGACATCATTGTTATCACACTGTTATTCAATAATAATGTCAGATCCTATTAATGCAACAATGGTTTGATGCACAACATTGACCTTGCATAACATTATTTCAAAAATGACCTACAATGCAACAGTGACCTCACATGACATTAGTGCAATAATTATATGCTTTGATGTGGTGTGAAGAACAACTTTGGAATGTCTCCCATAGCTGGATATTATCTGTATTTCTTAGATTGCTCTATCTGGTCTTTCTGTTGTCAGTATGAATTAAAACTACGTCTTGTTGCCATTGTTTCTTACATATGTTGCATACTTTGAAATGTGATGAAGACGTTACTGAACTGTCTGTGTTAATTTATTGCAGTGAGTGGGGCGCACTGCAGCTTCTAGTTGACTTTGACTCAGTGCCAGACTGGCTGGAAGGATGTGCATGGCTGCCAACTGAGGTTCGGAACCACTTGGTGCATTGTGAAGTTCTGCGAAGGTGTGAGGGAGTGGGGCGTTTGCTACTCCGGCGTCCAGGAGAGCCTATTGCAATGGTAGCCCCTGTCTCTGCTAATAAAAACAATACTGGTAAATTCTTTTGCCATGGTTCTGTATTTTCATGAGATTTTATGACTCTGCAATGTGATTTCCGTACTAAATCATAGTGTCTATAAATGCATTATTTGTACTTATGAAGATAGTGTTGGAAGACATATGATATAAAGATTTCATATCAGTCGTCATGGACTCCTTTTCTAGAGGTCTCAGTTTCACGATTTTTGCACGTCTTCCCCACTTCTCAAAAGTCCACTTTCAAGTTTTCTCAGAATGCACATATGATTGTCACATATTAGAATTTTCATATAATGATATTCCTCTTCGATACATATGATATGGTGTGAGTTGATAGTAAGGAGAATTCCCTTGATTTTCAGGAGACAGAGACTCACCAAAAGGCTCCCTACATTCAAGAGGGTTGGACACGATGCCAGCAGAGATGTTTGTTCCAAATCAGGAACAGTGGCTGGAACTACGAGTTCCAAAACATAAGGGCTTGTGTGGGCCATATTCCCTATGCTGCAGTAGTTGATAAGCAAAATAAAATATGAAATCATGTTTTGTGATCAGCCCTATGAACTGCTAACAACAAGCAGGAATAGGAGATTCAAAGAGACTTACATATTTCATATAATTTTCTCTGTGCAAGAGGCCTTAGCTTATTTTTTGTCATATTGGTTTAACAGCAGAGTGAGGATTATTATTTTTATTATCATCTCCATAATGGCAAATGGGTTGACCCAACCTCACATACAGTCTTGTTTTGTCTTTTAGTGCCTGTCTCTGGGTTCTGTTACCATGAAGAGAATAATAGTGGGATATCTGATTGAGATTCTCTGTGAACTTGGATTCTGGGTCTGAGGAGACATACATTTTGAAAATTTTTATTGTGTGATAAGTTGATGCACTCAGGTCTACAGGATAATGAAAACATATTTTTGTCTCAGTGTGTTCAAATGCAAACATAGTGAAGTGAAAGAACAATATGAAGCACTTTACTTCAGAAAAACTGCATTTAATTGTAAAAGTTGTGAAGTATAGGATTTGGTATGGTAAATAAAATTGATGTGGATGGTTTAACTCTTACCACTTGGCAGTCCTTGTTAATACACAACAAGTAGTCAGTTATCTGCCATATTCTGCCACAGAATGGTGTCATTCTTTGATTTCCAAGTTGTATTTTCATTGGGAAGGGCCAGGCACTCTTACACGTAAGAGTCCTCTGCATACTTCTTTCAGCATGCATGGCCAATAATATTTGCTCTTTTTAGACAGCTGTAAGTATTTAGGAAGTAAAATAGAAAAATATAAGTACTGAACAAGAAATTACATACAGAATAAAAATGCAGGACAGTTTTGTTAATTACAGAGGGGCGTAATCCAGGCATGAGCCGAGAAGGAAAAACTGAATGAGATAGAATAAAGAACAGATTCGAGTGAATCAGAAGTTGAATACATTGGAAGACGGAATAACAGAATAAGTTGATATGGATATGGTCTAAGAGTAAATAAGGAGAGAATTCAAAAAAGTTATGAACGGTAAGAAAAATGAAAAGACAAACATGGAGAAACAACCGCTGCCGACAGATGGCAGCACAATATCTGCGTAACGTAATATGGTATATAGGTTACAAATCTGTGCGTTGGTAATGATATCTATAAAATGTAATGTTTTTGTTGTTTAAAAGGGAATTTTACTTTAATAAATATGTAATTGTCAGCACGGGTAGCTTTAGTTGTGTTTTTCACTTTTTCTGCTTCTTTCTAGCACGTTCTGCCACGAGTTTTGATTCGGATCAGTTAAGATGTATGTAACACTGCTGTTATTGCCAAGTAAGCATTGTATTCAGGTAATTTTATTTCGTAATGTAATGTAGGTCTGGTTACTGATTGCTTAATTGCCACATTGCTTTATGTACAAACTTTTTTGGTTTAGACCAAGAAAGTTTGTACATAACCTTGATTTGCGATGCCATAGGATGTAGGGACATGTTAAGTGGTAGTTTAACCCTTACGGCAATGAGCACCGTTAATTTGCTGATGGAGGAGACTGCCTCCGATTATAGAAATTTAAATTGAATAATATTTACTTTCCATAGATCCTTCATAGTACAAGCTAAGGATGTGAAACATGACAAATATAAATATCAACACTTTGTAGAAATGTAATATCAATACAAACACCTTGTTTGGTTATTTCAATAATGAACATTTTGATTCCATTACAGACGGCAAATTTATAGACTAGCTAAGTGTAATATCGTTTTCTTTAAAAACATTCTGCTCCATGGAGTCAGTTGTGCTTGTAGTGGAACCCCACATTTAGTCTCTCCAGCAGAAAAAGCATGCTTTTGGCTCATATTCTGAGTCATTCCCATATAGTAATTCTCATTTCCTTAAAAACCATTTTGCAGTTTACGGTCTTCATCCTGTTCATATACGAAGTTACCCCATGTGTTCTTTAAATGTTAGGAACCATAATGTCAACTTTGATTTAAGTATGGAACTAGAAAAGGGCTACCACTACTGCTTTTCTGGATGGCTACTGCAGTCAAGAATGAATTAATTTAACATTCTATATAACATTATAGTAATGATGAATAAGTGATGTTTTAAAAATGTGCCAATATACACAAAAGACCGCTTCAACTTGGAACACAATATACAGCTAGAGGACACTTCTATCCTCTCCTCTAAAACCGGCTACATGGATCGGTTAATCAGGGAAGCCATCGAGATCGAACTTCATCCTGATAACTTTAACAGGGAAGATGGACTTCACCTGAGACGGTCCTGGAAGCCTCTTATTCACACACTCTGAGGACTCCGAGAACGAGCAAGAGTGCACCGCCAGAACCAACCAGACTACTAACTCGGCCCTTTTCGGGGCCCTTATCCATACAACCAAACTCACCTTTCTCTCTCTACTTTCTCTCCCTCTCCCACCCTCGCCCACGTGCTACCATTGGTCCACTCCCATACCTGCTCCCATTGGCTCGGGGCAGGCTACACCTTTCACTTCCCTGCCTATAAATCCAGCTCCTCACACCCTATTGGCATATTCATCGCCCTGATGACGGAGGCAGTATGACCTCTGAAACGTTGGTTAACATCGACCAGACTACACAGCGCAATAACCCAGAAGACGGATATCTTCATCTACACAAAAGATAATTTAAAATAAGAGTGCTTGAAGTGAAGTCTGTACTTTTGTGTGATATCATATCTTGTCCTGATTTTGCAGTAGCTATAAAAAGGTTTAATAAGACCTGTGGAGTTGGTACGTTGTATTTGCTGAGATGCCCTTTTTATATTTTCTTTATTCTTAGCTTAGGTCTATGAGAAACTTGTTAAATGTAAACAATTTCTATTCAGCTGACTTTTTTCAAAACCTAGCTGAGCTCAGCTTATTGTTGCTTTTACAATAAATTTATTAAATTCATCTGATCTATCAGAATTTGGATTTGTTGGTGAAATATAACAAAAAAAAGTGTGTCATATTTGCTAGTTCAACTACATATATTACTGGTAAATAGTGTAACTACATCCAGGCATAAACAAGAACAAAAAAGACAAAGGCAACAAAGTAGTCACTGAAATGTATTGTGTCCAAAACTTGAGATAATTTGCAATTTGTGCTACAGGAAGACTGCAGTGTATAATTCCACACATGAGAGAGACTTCAAGAAGCTTGGCAACTTTAGGAGGAGGTGAAGTATGGAGAAGTACAGTGGAACCACAATCAGAATTAGATGAAGAGATTCAGAAAGCCAGGATGAAAGATATGGTGAGCTAAGATCGTTCAAGTTCATAGCTGCAGGCTGCAGAAAAGAATTCAAACCTTTGTATGGGGCAGGGCACAGAAGTAAAAGTAGAGCAGTATGACAGTATGTGGTTAGAGATTTGGGAGCAAAATAACCTAAACTCTGGTATTTTCAAAGTATTAAGATTCACATTAACCCTTTTGCTTTATATTTCCAAAAAGATTTTAATTGTGAGTTATAAATCTTATCTCATTAATGTGCTTTATATGCAGAAAGATATAAAGGTTATTGTTAGAATAACGTTAATCATATAATAAAACTGTATTGCAGCCAGTAGAAGACATGAAAAACCCATTTGAAAGAGAAAAAGCTCAGTGCATCCTGTGCCAATATAAGATAGTGCCAGACTACAAGAATGTGAAGCTTCTGTCCCAGTTTGTTTCACCATACACAGGACAGATATATGGGCGACACATCACTCGACTGTGTGCTGCCCAGCAAGCTAGACTTGAAAAGGAGATATTTAAGTCTCAGTCTGCAGGTTGGCATGTTTCTATTAGAGTTCTTTAATAAGATTGAATGATGAATTAGACAGGGGCAGTACATGTTACATGGTGTGATAATATTGTGTATGTGAATGCCAAAAGAATGCACCTTCTTGTCAATTATGCCAAAACAAGAAGCAGGTTATAATGATGTAACACATTGAACTTGCATTTGGGAAGTACCTGGTTTGAATCTTTGCCAGTTATTCATGCTAATGAAGATATTCCATTTTTTTTGTCTCTCCAGTAAATGCTAAGACATTAAAGTAGGCTATGATCATTTAATACCACATCATTCTCTGTAGAATTCATAATCATCCTATGTTATATATGTATAAAATGTGACATGAAATAACCTGATACAATGTCACAAACTAACAGAATAACCAACCTACAACTTTAACTTTAATGACTCTATTAATGAAGAGTGCAAGTTACAAGGTACAAGTTGGTATTTCATTATACTAAAAACTCTGATTTTTTTTTCTCCTATTTCTATTATTATTTTACAGGTTTCATGCCATATTATTTTAAGGATGTAGCATATGTGAAGGATCCCAAACTTTTTGATCCAGATCGCCCCATCCGTCCACACAGATTTTAGTTCTGTTGGCAGACATTCCCTTATAGAGTCAAGAGAGGCGCTTGCTACTTGAAGATGCAAGTGAATAACTTGATTTGCATAGTAACAATGTTTATTCAGCATGTACAAATCTTTTTTCTACAAATATAAATTATTGCAAGAAACAATTTCTGATTGTTCTGAAACTCCAATTCATCCTCTTAATAGTTTGATTTCCTCAATCCTTTAATTTCACATTCTTATAATGAACATTTTAATGTGCATATATAGTATATTTATGTGTTTAGTTTTCTAATATTTCTCCTTTTTTTTTATTCATGTAAACAACAGAACATTATCCTTCATCAAAATCATCAGTATCCTCATTGTAACCAATTGCTTCAGGTGGAATACCAAATGTTTCCAGCAGCTGAGTCATATTAAGTTGGTACCCTTGTAAAGTAGAAGCTTGATGAAGTCTTCGAAGTGCTTCTTGGCAACCTTCCTTCCATCTGGCTATTTCGATTGCCAGTTCATTCACATCATGCTGTAACACAGTAATCATGAAAGTATCTCAATGACATAAATATCTGGTCAGGTTCTACGAAACTAAAGAATTTATGCACAATTAGAATCATGCTTAAAGAAGAACAATATATACAAACATCCCAGATCTCCTTTAAATAGTAAAAATGAATTTTCCACTGTTAATTTGGTCCTAAGAGATAAGTAACCAGAGTGTGGAGAAAATAATATTAGTTTCATAACTTCTACTCATCACATATATGGCTGATTAAATGGATTGGATGACCAGATATACAATATATATGTATGAAAAACCTATCATGATACTTGAAGAGACCACCTGCAGACTAGATGGAAGGATAATATTAAACTTGATCTTAAAGAAACAGCCTGTAGACCACATTAAATTGGCTTAGGATAGGGTCAAATGATGGGCTCTCAATGCACACAGGTTCCATAAAAGGCAGGAAATTTGTTAACAAATGTTGGGTGGACCATCATGAATTGGAATCCTGCAGATAGAAGTCTAATAATTCAAATGCAAGGAACCTGGTGGTCTCAGAGGTGAACGATCATTCAACCAGATATAGAGTGACGTGTGGTCAGCATGACGAATCCCCCCGCCATTGCTAGTTTTTATAACCAGATTACACTACCTAGCTCC